AAAAATGGGACGCGGGAATTTTTTTTTTTTTAAATTTTTTCGTCGCGCAAAGTCGCTTTGCGCGACAAATATTTTTTCGTCGCGCAAAGTCGCTTTGCGAGACCAATATTTTCGTCGTGCAAAGTGACTTTGCGCGACCAATATGTTTCGTCGCGCAAAGTCACTTTGAGCGACCAATATTTTTTCGTCGCGCAAAGTCTCTTTGCGCGACGAATGAAAAAATTTCGTCGCGCAAAGTCTTTCTCCACGATCTTTGCGCGACGGAATCTGCGCGACGAAGTTTCTGTCGCGCTAAAATTTGTGTGACTATAATGTATTTTGCGCGACGAAATTCTCTTCGTCGCGCAAAGTGAAAAATGTAGTAGTGTTTGCACTTTCCCAACCACATTAATTTATCCTTACATCAATAAGCAATTCCACATTTCCAATCATATGATTGCTACAGCCACTGTCAATGTACCACTCCCCTTGTGTTTTTGTCTCAGTGGTTGCACAGTTAGCATAGAACAAGTTCCTAGACACTTCCATTGACTTGCACAGTTTGCCTTCTATACAGACTTTCCTGCATTGCACTCTCTAGCCAAATGACCAAATTTGTCACAATTGTAACATTTTGGCTTGCCTTTATAACTGCATTCTCCAAAATGGTACTTTGGGCACACCTTGCACTGAGGTTTTATAGTTTCTTGACTTGTTGGCTGTGATGAACTGAAATTGTGATTTGATGTAGGATTGTTTATTGAGGCTTCCCTTTTGACTCCCACGGTTTGCCCTTAGGATTCCAATTCTTTTGAGACTTGGATGGACCAGATTGAACTGCATTCTCGTTATGGCCTTTTGGACTCACAGTGAATGAGGCAAATGCTTTCTCAATTGCATCAGCATTGTGCAATTCAAATCGTTGCTTTTGACTTTTCAGAATGTCAATTACTTCTTGCAATTCCACAGTCTCTAGACTTTTAGTGTTCTTAATCACTAAACATATAAGGTCATATACCTTGCTAAGACTAATTAAGACTTTTTGAACAAGCCTTTCATTCGAGGGCATTTCACCATATGTTTTCATTTGATTAATCAGATCATTCAGTCTAGTAAGGTAAGCAGACAAAGACTCATTATCATGCATTCTAGTGTATTCAAATTTGTGTATGAGATTTTGATGTTTTACCGATCTAACATGATCTTCACCATGGTATTCTCCATACAACAGCTCCCAAGTTGCTTTGGTAGAGTCTGAATTGGCGATACATGGGAAAATTTGGTCTAAGACTGCATTTTGGATGATACCTAGAGCTTTTGCATGCTTCATGAGAATTGCAGCTACTTTTTCATTGTCTTCTTCTTCTTCTAAGATTTCCTCATATCCCGTCTTCTTCTTCTTCTTCGAATAGAAGATTTTAATCCCCTTCTCTACCTTCGTGAGCGTTTGAACAAGCTTCAGAATACCCCAATCTTTTCTTCACAGTTTAAACGCCTAGCTTTCAGATGATAGAACCTAGCTCTGAGGCCATTTTAGAGTTTTGCAATGTGTGAATGTAGAGTGACGAAGGAGAGAAGAAAGGAGAAGAGAAAGATTGACAAAATCGCTCTCCTATTCATGTAGCAGAGGAATGTTCATTCCAATTCTTTATTACAACCTCACGCACTTGGTGTGTGGAATATATCCATTAGGCACAGTAGCTGGATCCCTTACATCACAAGGTGATCTCAGCCATTCACTTAGACAACCAATAAGATGCTTACACTTGGCTTACAAAATGAAATCAAAAGATAAAACTGTTTTAACTAACTAATGAGTCAGCTTAAGAATTTATAATTCAACAGCTTTTACTGGTTGCAAATACATGGATATATTGGGGAATGCAGAGAAGAAAGTTCATCAAACTCAAACAAAAATACTTTAAAGAAAATGGTGGCTTACTGTTACAACAACAACTCGCTAGTGAAGGCGGCTCTGTGGAGACAGCAAAAAACTTCACTGCAGAAGAACTTGGGAAGGCCACGAACAATTACCATGAAAGTAGAGTCCTTGGAAAAGGAGGCTATGGAATAGTTTACAAAGGAATATTACCAGATAACAAAGTGGTTGCCATAAAGAAGTCCAAAGTTTGTGTCCAAACCCAGAAGGAGCAATTTGTTAATGAGTTGATTGTTCTTTCTCAAGTCAACCACAGAAATGTGGTGAGGTTATTGGGTTGTTGTTTAGAGACAATATCTGTGCCTTTACTAGTTTATGAGTTCATCACCAATTGTACTTTTTTTTAAATGGTTACATTGTTGTGAGATATATAGGATATGTGAAAGACATAATTATATCATGTCATGGAAATTGGCTGGAATTGTTGGGTTGAGAAAATAATGATGGAAAAAGAGGGTAATGGAAATGATCTTTTGTGTAGTTGAGTCTACTCTTAGCAGGTATCAGATCTTAGGGATTCCACAGTACACATGGTTTTCATTGGGTGATACGGGACTGGCGACAGGGAGTTAGACAAGATGACTAACAAAAAGGAATTTATGGGATGAATGAGATGGGGGTTAGTTCATATAAATGAGCTTTCAGGACCAAGTATAAGCATGGTATGGGATGTGCAGGTCTGCTTATCCAGTTATATGAATTAACGGGAGTAGATGAAGAGCATTCATGCATTATTATTAATAATGTGAAATTTGGCTGTGTGATTGTATGTCACTTAATTTAGTTATATCAATTTCTTGTAAAAAGATGACAGGACCCGACCCGAATTCTCCCTCGGAACTCGTGTCGAATCCTGTTATCCGATCGGCACCCGAACAATGTCGGACTCACTACTAACTTTACACCTTTCACCCAAACTTTTAAGAAGAATGGGTTGAGACTTCTACCGAAAATTCGGCAAAGTCTCCCTAGTAAAATGGACTTTTCCCAAAATACACCAGCAAAAGACGACAAACTAATAATCCCAACTGGCAGCACACATAAGATAAGGCACACATAAATTTCACATGGCCTTCGGCCTCAAACTCAATCATAAGTGGGAAATATCAGAGCAACTACTAGAGTTAAATTTACAAGGGTAGTTTCCAAATAAACAACGTGAACGACAAATAAAGTTTACTAAATCTATGATGTAATTCAGCTCTTGACAAGCAAGCTTAGAAAGTTATTATATGGGTTAAAATAATCTCTCAGGGCATGGTTTGGCAGATTTACTAAATCTATGAAGAATTTTGGATATACACAGAGTAATTAAGATCAAACCTTATTCTTGAAGTGTGATAAAGGAAAACTTACTGCATTGATTGTTTATGTGGATGACATAGCCGTAACTGTAAACGACGCAGGAGAGCAACTAAAGTTGCAAAAGTATTTGTCTCAGAAATTTGAGATGAAGGATTTAGGTGATCTGAAGTACTTTCTCGGAATCGAAGTAGCAAGGTCAAAAACTGGTATATTTTTTGTCTCAAATGAAGTATGTAATGGATCTACTCACTAAAATAGGAATGCTAGGATGTAAGCCGGCTGACACACTCATTGAGATGAATCACAAGTTGTGTGAAGATATGGACCAAGAACCAACCAATAAGGAACAATACCGATGCCTTGTTGGAAGGTTGATATATTTGATACACACAGACTAGATATTGCATATGCTGTGAGTGTGGTTAGTCAGTTTATGCATTTGCCCAGTGTTTCTCATAGGAATGCAGTTGATCGGATCTTAAGATACTTAAAGTCAACCTTTGAAAAAGGATTAATGTTCTAAAAAAATGGAGATCTTGAAGTTGGATACACAGATGTTGATTGGACTGGTTCCATTATAGATAGACGCTCTACTTCTGGTTATTTTACATTCGTGGGAGGTAACCTAGTCATTTGGCAGAGTAAAAAAAAAAAAGTGGTTTCTCGATCTAGTGCAGAAGCGGAGTATCGAGGAATGACTCTTGTGAATTATTGTAGGTCTTCTAGATCACGACTTAGCGCTGAGAGAAGAGAAACCTGAGGTCACTGCCTATAGCAATGCTGCACAGAAGCAGAAACTCGAGAGGTGGGAGAAATCAAATAGGATATGCCTACTTGTCATGAGGAAATCCATGACAGAAACTATTTGTGGTGGCATCACTGAATCTGAGAATGCTAAGGATTTTTTGGAGGCCATAGGACTGAAGTTTAAAGACATTGAGAAGGCAGAAACTGGAACCTTGATGACCAAACTTGCAACCATGAAGTATGATGGTGTTGAGGACATGAGGGTTTATCTTTTAAGCATGATAGAAGTTGCAAGCAAGCTGAAAGCTCTGGAGATCCCTATAGCTGACCCTTTTCTAGTTCACCTTGCATTAAATTCTCTTCCTTCTCAGTTTGCTCAACTAAAAGTGATCTACAATGCTCAAAATGACAAATGGAGCCTCAATGAACTAATTTCAATTTGTGTTCAAGAAGAGGCAAGAATGAAGAAGGAGAAAGAAGTGAACACAGTCCATCTTACAACCAATACTCCAAAAAGACTCCATCCTAAGCCAAACTCATTTGCCGCTGCCAATAAGGACAACACTAAGGCTAACTCTTCGTAGGAAATGGCAAGAAGGTGGCAGTTCTTGCTGTAGGATCAGTCCAACTTCAACTAGTTTCAGGGTTTTCTTTAGTTTTAAAAGATGTTGCTTATGTACCTTCCATGAGAAGGATTTTGATTTCAGTTTCTAGATTGGTTAGGGAGAATTTTATTTTGTTTTTTCTGAGGTAGGATTCAATTTGAATTTTAATAAAAGTGAAGTTGGTAATGGTGTTCTAGTTGATGGTCTCTTTAAGCTACATGTTCCAGTTCAAACAATGTCTTTGCTATTGATTCCATAGGTCAAAAACGATCTCAAAACAATGAAAATTCAGCAAGACTATGGCATAAAAGGCTAGGCCATGTGTCTACGAAAAGAATGCAATACCTTGTGAAAGAACAAATCCTTCCTCCCTTAGATGTTTCAGATTTTGAAGAGTGCATTGAATGCATTAAAGGAAAAATGACCAACCCAAGAAAATTAGGTTCCACTTGAAGCCAAAATCTTCTTGAAATTATTCACACAGATATTTGTGGCCCTTTTCCAGTTCTAACCATAGAAGGTCATAGGTATTTCATCACCTCCATTGATGATTTCTCTAGGTTTTGTTACATCTATCTAATCCAGAACAAGTCTAGTGCTTTTGAAGTTTTTTAAAGTCTTCAAAACTGAAGTAGAAAATCAATTAGAATTAAAGATTAAATTTTTAAGGTCAGATAGGGGTATTATGGCAAGTACGATGAGCAAGGTAGGCATCCTTCACCATTGGCACGATTTCTACAAGATTGTGGAATCATTGCTCAATACACAAACCCTGGAACACCTCAAGAGAATGGAGTTTCAGAAAGAAGAAATAGAACTTTAAAGGACATGGTGAGAAGCATGATTTGCAACACTGATCTTCCAAAAAATTTGTGGGGTGATGCAATCAAAACTGCAAATTACATTCTGAATAGATGTACAAGCAAGTCAGTTCCTAAGACTTCTTTTGTTGTGGAATAAGAGAAAACCTAGCCTTAATCACTTACACGTTTGGGGTTGTAGAGCTGAAGCCAAAGTCTATAATCCTGAGCTTGCTAAACTTGATCCAAAAACAGTGAGCAGATTTATTGGATATGCTAACAGATCAAAAGGTTTTCGATTCTACTGTCCTAATTACGTGAATAGAGTTGTAGAGACAGGCAAGGCAAGGTTTATAGAGCCTGATGACAATGAAGGAGTTAACAAAGACTTTGTCTTTGAAGAAGAATGAGAGATAGGAGCTGAACCTGTAAATGTCACAAATCCAGTGTTGCCTTTACCATTAAATCAAATGTCTTCTAAAATTAATGCATCAACTGAACCTGTCATTCATGATCAAGACATGGAGGATTTGAATGGGGAAGAGAATGAACCTGAGGCATTTGAGAATAAACAGTTCCCACAACAAAAGCTGAGAAGATCTACAAGGGATAGAAGACCAAATGTGCTGCCAGATTTTGTATACTTGAATGAAGCTGATTTTGACGGTATTGAATTTGAGGACCCATCAAATTATAAACATGCTATGTCTAGTGAATACTCTGAGAAGTGGATTGAAGCCATGCAATCTGAGTTGGAATCCATGAAAAGCAACAATGTGTGGGAGCTAGTTGAGCCAAGACAAGGAATTAAACCTATTGGTTGTAAATGGGTGTTCAAAACCAAGAAAGACTCTAAGGGTAACATTGAGAGACATAAAGCAAGTTTGGTGGCCAAGGGGTTCACACAACAAGAAGGAGTAGACTACAATGAAACTTTCTCACCGGTTTCAACCAAGGATGCTTTTAGGATCATAATGGCACTTGTGGCTCATTTTGATTTGTTTTTACATCAAATGGATGTGAAAATAGCCTTTCTCAATGGAGATTTGAGTGAAGAAATTTTCATGTTACAACCTGAGAGTTTTATAGAAGAAGGCAATGAACATTTGGTATGTAAATTGAAGAAATCAATTTATTTTTTGAAGCAAGCCTCTAGACAATGGTATCTCAAGTTGACAAGATCATTACTTCAAATGGTTTTGTCGAAAACAGATTAGATGAGTGCATATACTTAAAATTCAGTGGGAGTAAATTCATTTTTCTAGTTCTTTATGTAGATGACATCTTGCTTGCTAGTAGTGATGAAAGTCTTTTACATGAGACTAGGAATTTTCTTTCCATGAATTTTGAGATGAAGAACCTTGGAGAAGCATCATATGTATTAGGAATCGAAATTCACAGAGATAGAGAAAAAGGACTGCTAGGTCTGTCTCAAAAGGCATATATTGAGAAGGTGTTGAAGAAATTTAACATGCTTCAAAGTAATGGAGCTGAGGTTCCTGTTTCAAAGGGAGACAAACTAAGCAAAGAAGACTGTCCAAAGAATGATGTAGAAAGGGCAGAAATGAAGGACAAACCATATGCTTCGGTACTAGGCAATATCATGTATGCACAGGTGTGCACACGACCTGATCTAGCATTTTCCATTAGTGTATTAGGCAGGTATCAATCTGATCCGGGCATTGCACATTGGAAAGCTTGTGACAATAAAGGAGCAGTGTTCTTTTGCAAGAACAATAAAAGGTCTGCTGGACTCAAGCATATGAAAGTGAAGTATTTGCTAGTAAGAGAAAAGGTTCGAGAGGGCTTAACCACTGTTGACTATATCAACACTACAGAAATGATAGCAGATCCTTTAAATAAAGCAATTCCAAACAATGCTTTTCATAGGCATGTGACCAATATGGGGTTACAACCCAGTTTCGAAGATTCTTTGGTCTAGTGGGAGTTGATGACTAGTTCTCACTTCAGCTATTTGTTTAAGTTTTGTTTGTTATTTGAGCTAGTGTTTTTGTCTTGTCATCTACTAAAATTATTCTGGACAGTATGGATTCTCAAATGAATATTGATTCAATTTCATTGATTTTGCAATATGATTACAGTTTACAGTTTAAGTTGTAAAACTATTTAAGCTACAGGTAAGATCATATGTATAAATATATTGATCATAAAGAGGACCATTCGTGTGGTGAATGAACAACTTCAAAGATTAGATCATTCATCATGTGATGTTGGACATAGCTTGTTGGTACTCTATGTGTATGTTACTGCTTGCTGTGATTATAGGTGGATGATACCATGTAATGGTTATCGTGTCTGCAGTCCTTTAAGTTGGTAATATTTGACAATGAGTTTGATATAGATATTGTTATCAAGCTGTCTTTCCAAACTGTGCACATAAGGTTTTGATCCTTGATCTTTAAGGAAGAGTCTTAAATGGATGTTTCACTCAAGTGGGAGAATGTAAGACCTCTATTTGAGTTCACATCTATTTAGGAGTCCAATTTGATCATGGATACGAGGGAGAGATAAGCTGGGTATACACGGATAAGTTTGATAGAGTTGAAGCTCTATCTCACTTGTGGAATATCTATTATATTAGGCTATGGATTCATGTGGTGATAAGGATAAGCTTTAAGGATTCCTTTATGGGCTAGGAACCTCAAGGCTCTCACCTATAAACTAAGGCTTCGGTCCCCACTCTCATGCACAAAAACAGACTCATATTCGTACCCATACATGAGAGATTTAGAGTGCACAGAGAGAGGAAGACCAAGGCTAGTCCATGTGTTTTGCTGCTGTTGTTGTGCTTGCTCTAATGGCTTCTCAAGGTTAGTACTTATAAATTACATGTGAAATAGAATTTACATGTTCTAGGGGTGGGCACGGTACGGTATTGAGCTCGTACCGTTACCGTTACCGATACCGAAAATTAAAACCGGTATGGTACGGTATGGGATTATCGTTTGCCAAAGTTGGTACCGTACCATACCGTACCGTGCCAAATCAGTATCGGTACCATTTCAATACCAAAATGACATAACTAAAAAATGAACCAATTCAATATTCAACATATTCATTCACCAAAATAAGTGATGCCTAAGTTACAGATTCAAATATTCAACATACTGAATATCCAATTCCTAATCAACATATTCAATATCCATCAATATATTCAATATATTCAACATATACAAAATAATCAACATATTCAACCTTTTAATAAATTTATTTACATTATATTTTTTTATATTTTTTATTTGAGATATTCACACTTTCTAGTAGTGAGCAGCAGCCTGTGATCTGATCATGACTCGAGTCTTGATGACAAATGAAGCTTTATGTTCAAGGATTATTATACGTTTTTAATAATCTAAGATTATACGTTTTTAATAATCTAAGTGTCGTCTATTTGCCTCACGAACATAACTGTAATTAATCTGAAAAAAACTCTGAAATAATTGAATTAGACCAACAAATTAGAGAGACGATCTAGATGTAGACTGTATTCAACAACATTACTGTAAAGGACAAATTTGTACACAAGTAGCGCTTCATGGAGGAATATTATATACCCTACGCATTAGGAGATTTCTTTTTTCGTTTTTCCTTTTATTCATACACCATTGAGAGATTAGTAGTATTAGTATTCAAAGTTGCACATAAAAAATCCTCTCTCCTAATACGCATGCACATGAGACGGGGCCACGTAGGATCCGGTGGCTGGCGACACTAAAGTGACTTCACGCGATGATGTCGGAGTACATGTTCGATAGCAACATGTTTAGAACAGCCACGTGGACGTAGACTTCATGTCAATGCATGCATTCTTCATATAGTGGGGGTCAATTGTGGTGTCTCGAGAGTCTATATCACTAATCTGAAAAAGCTGTACATTAAGGAAGTCTTAGTCAAGCCGGGGGCCACTTTGTCCCCAATTTTAACAACTAAATATTTTCACAAAGGATTTCAAGTTCGAATCTTTTCTCACTCGTTAATTAAATAAATAAATAAAACGGATGAGTGTGTTAACTGGCAAAAAATAATCATTATAGGTTAATAAAGGCATTTTCTATCTATATAATAGGTCAGGCTTTGCCTCAGTTTTCTTAGGAAAACAATTAACACATAACATATAGCGCGTGATTATATACATATGGCATTTCAATATGAGATGCTTATGCACAAGGGAGAGGATTTCACACACACACACTACTAAGGTGTTACGTAAATTTGAACCTAAGATTACTACTTTATAATCTAAAACTCTTTCCACTAGGCTAAATCCGTGGACAACAAAACAACAATTTTAGTAGCACTCCAAACAACATATTCAAAGCAATATTAAATGGGCTCATTCTTTCTTCTTTTCTTGGTGGTTTTTTTTTAAAAAAAATTTTGTTTTATTTAAGGATAATGCTTCCCTCCTTGCCTAGTAATGTGGCACAATCACAAATTGACACATATCTCTTTTTTGTTAAATCCTCAAAAAAAAAATTTCTATTTTATTATTCTTAACTGAATTTTCATTTTCCTACTTTAGTTAAAATTTTAAGTATTTTTCTTCTTTTTAATGGGAAATTTCCAAACTTTGAGTTGTAAAAACCATAAAATATGAAATGAAAATACATATGAGTTTGGATTTGCTGTCCCCAAAACCATATACTTAACACTGTTAGCCTTGAAAGAATAAAAAAAACAACAACAATTCCACTTGAAATTTTTTTTTCTACTCTTCTTCCACTACTACAAGAATTGGGCTTGGACACAATTTTTATTAGTGCTCTTCAATGCAAAAAACCACAGATATACGTGCTCTATGCCAATAACCACGCTGCAGCCACTTTTAAATGGTGGGTTGTCTATATAGAAGTTTCCATTGGTTATAGGTCACAAATTTGTCGTCAGTGTCCACCTTTGTAAAGCACAAAAACTGATCTTTGTGCTTAGTATTCTGACGAGCTAACTCAATTGCTTTATCATTTATCAAACCAAGCAAAATGTTAAAAGTTACATTTCGAATTCGAATATGTTTATTAATCAAATTTACAAGTTAACGCAATGTGAAACAATACAAAAAATAGTAAAGATAAGTTGTATAACAATAAGGATAACTAACTAGAGTTATGAAAATATGCATCCAACTGTGAACATGTAGAGCATCCAAGTTGAAATCCTCCAAAAACCTGGTTAATGCAAACCCAAAAAAAAAAATAGTCAAGATAAGTTGTATAACAATAAGGATAACTAACTAGAATTTCACGGAGTACCAGAGAAAATATACATCCAACATCGAAACCTTGACAGAAGCCTAAACACAGAACAAAAAAAAATCTGGACTCAAATCAAAATATGTTTCCCATCCTGGAATATCAAACCACATCTTTCTTCTTCCAAAAGAATATTGAACCAGATGCAGTGAGAGAGAGAGAGAGAGAGAGAGCAACAGCGAGAAAAAAAGAAAAGAATATTGAGAACAGTGAGAGCTCTAGGCACGGATTAAAGTTTTCCATGACTATTATCTAACTGTTTTAAACAATAGTAAATTGAGCTTAGACCCATAAAATTCATTTTAAATCACCTACAACCCTTTCCTTTAGTTTTCTATTTAAAATACCTAATTTTTTCAAATAATATCCGATGACTAGAATCCAACTAAGCAAGTTACCTAATATAACTTAAAATATGATTTATTGTATTTTTTGGATTCCAAAACTACCCTTGTTTATAAGTTAATGTGTTATGGGGGGTGTAACTAATGACACCCGTTGAATTTGGAAAGATCTCCAAATAGTTGTAATGGATGTAGGAACTAATTTAAAAACTTATTTGAAATTAAATATTAAATTCCACATTAAAGTATCAGTAATCTATTTTACGACTAGTAATTTATTTTTGAATTAATGTTTTCCTTTTATGAATTACGACTAGTAATCTATTTAAAGTATTAGTAATTTAAATTCAATATTAAATTTAGGAATTAATGTTGTTGTCTTTTATGAATTATACGACCAATATTCTTTTTTTATTATAGTTTTATGAATAATAGTGTACATTCTAATTATGTTGAAAAATAATTTGATAATCTATTTATTGTTTTTTTAAAAACATTTTTTTAATGACCCTATTTTTTTCTCCAAATATTGTACCTATTTTTTTTCTTTATTACTTGTTTTATGAAAAATAATTTGATCATCTTTTTATTGTTTGTTTTATGAAAACAATTTTTTTTAAATGAGCCTATTTTTTCTCTCAAAATAATGTACCTATTTTTTTTCTCTAATAATGTACCTAGTAAAAAAATTTACCTAGTATAATGAACCTATTTTTTTCTTCTCTAATAATGTACCTTCTTTTTTTCTAAATAATGTACCTTTTGTTTTCTCTCAAAATAATGTACCTAGTAAAACAATTTATCTAGTATAATAAACTTATTTTTTCTCTAAATAATGTACCTTTTTTTTTCTCTAATAATGTATACCTAGTAAAATAATTTACCTAGTATAATGAACTTATTTTTTTCTTCTAAATAATGTACCTATTTTTAATTTATAAAAAATATGCATAAATTTCAATTATACAACGTACCTATTTTCTATAAACTATTGTGTACCTATTTTAATTTATGAAAAACGTGCAGAAATTTCAAATTTAGGTAGATCCCACATATTATCCGTCCTTTCCTTTCCTTTCTTTTCTTAAACATGTCTCATCTTTTTATTTTAATACATTATCTCTTATGCCTTTTTTTTTTTTTTTTTTTTTTTTGCTTTTTGATCACAAGGGATGAAAAGTAAAGTTTGGTCTTAGTCCAAGGACCATTGCTATCATTTTGCCTTTATTATATAAAACTCAACATCACTTTGATCGCGTTCTTTTAGTAAGGTCATCTTTAGTCATGGGCCATAGACCAAATATAGCCATAAACTAATGCAAAATCCATTTCCGAAAAAAAATTGGCCGAATTTGGAAGGGCGCACATTTAGTCCATTAGCCCTTCAACTAGATTACTTGTAGCACAGTTATAGCCCAGGCCAAATTTTTTTCTGGGCTCAGCGCATGTGCTTTCCAAGAAAAGAAAGTATCATGCGAGAGTGTGAGCATGAAACATCTCATGCAACCGCTGGTGGACCTAGGAATTTTTTAGCATATGTGAAATTTTTAAAGGCAAAAAGCTTAAAAGAAAAAGGATTGGGCTATAATTTATGTAGTACGAGAATCAATGTCAAATCATCAATTAATATAACGAGAATCAATATCAATTAATCTAATGAAAATTAATATCAAATTATCAATTAAACAAACAAATAATAAATAGTGCTCTCATAACTTGAATCTCATCACCTTATTTTAATATGCTTGCTTTTATTTATCATTTTTAGTTAATTAATCAATCAAATCTCATCATCTGGTCGTTCAAATAAAGTCTGAGGTTAATCACAATAGGTACTTAATAAATTTAACCACTCTTCGTGGGAACGATACTTTACTTAACTCTAAACTACTTGTGTGATCCTTACGCTTGCGAAATTGCTCAACAAATACTCAATTACTTTAGTCAATGTTAATTCCAAGTATTTTTTTTTTCATGTTGAGTATCTATTACTATGCTTAATGCTTTGAATGTTTGGCTAACATTTAATTGTTTTGATGCTAAATTGATGATAGGGATATCCAATTTAGAGTTTGCTTCTTGTAATAGTTGTCATGGGTTACATGATTAGACAAGGATGTTTGTCATGACATACCTCGAGTCTTGTGCCACATAGCCTCTTCTTATTCGAATTTGCTAATCATACAAATACAAAGATGGCCAAATCAGAAATAATAGTAATAATTATTACTATTATAATAAACATGTTATAAAGAAATAATAAATAAATAAAAACCAGAAGAAATGTTGCTGAAGAAGAAAAACAAAAAATCAGACCTTGAATCAAAGCTCTTATTAAGCCTCGAGTACCAGACCTTTATTATTATCATATCAATAATTATCATCAATTCAACGCAAGGCTTGGGATAGGGTGATTGTTGGGTGGTTACATCTTTCTTCCCCTTTTGGCCAGAATTTGTTTAGTTTTTTATTTTATTTTTATAAATGTTGCGAAAACAGGTCTTGTCAGTAATCAATTAGTTCTAGGTCGTTTTTTTGGAAAACAAAGTCTTGGTCAGTCAATGCCCCTGTTCATAAACTTCACGAAATTGCCTAGTACTCACTGGCGGACCCAATCACAGACAACTGTGGGCAGCTGCCCACACTTACTCAGCCACCCAACTTGAGTTAAAGTCCAAACCGCCCAACTTGACTTAAAGTCCAAAACTTATATTAATATTGTAGAGAACTCAGCCGCCCAACTTGTTATTTATATTTATACTGAAGATTGATTTTTATTATTATTATATATATCATGATGAAAAATAATATAAACTATTAATGACAGTTATGGAAAAATATTTTAAAAGAAAACAACACATGCGTCAATACTAATATTCAAAGTTTGAAACAACACATGATCCACCCAGATAAACGAAAGTCTAAGTCCGCCATTAGCCCACAACTTTTTCTCACAGATCATCCTTATTCTCTTCATCTGATGAAGTTTTATTGACCCAAGAGAGAAAACAAAAAAAGGAAAAAGGACAAAAAGATCATCCCTATTCTCTTATCTTCTTGCAATAGCGTGGTAAGTGTGTTTACAAGTTGAAGCTTAATTTCCTGATGAAATAAATATATATATATATATATGTAATCTCTCTCCCTCACTATCTACGTTCAAAGGCTTCTGTATAATAGTATCTAAAGCACTTAGGTTCAAAGGCTTCTCCCTCACTATCGACGTTATGTCTTTACAGCGCCGTGATGATCATCTGACCAAAACCATAAGGTTAGTTTTTGCAAGATGTAGCCTTTTGATAATATAAGATGATTATTTGGCGTGCACCATTGAGTATCATCTCACTTTCTACGATATCGTAATATATTTTAATTGACTTGCCATTTGATGTTGGGTTAGATATACTCTAATTTGTTAAGTCTTGACTTACCTCAATTTTCTGATTGCACTTTTCTTTTAATTAGCGACGCACCAGGTAAACTGGCACGATGTCTCCCATCAGATTCATTCTGGAACATGATGATTGTAATTTCATGTGTTATTGCAATTTCCCTAGATCCCGACACAAGGTTGTGGAATGTGGCTCTGATTTTGCGATCTCTAACAGATATCACTTTCGTGGTGGATATTGGATATCAAATCTATGAAGGGCTTAATCAAGCCTACAAGGAGATCAACGGAAGGAAGTCGGACTGGCAAAAGGATTGGCAACCGACGTTAATAAGAAGAGATGAGATAATTCCATTTGCTAAGATTTTCGCTCGGGATTTGACGTGGTGTCCTTTGGTGACTGACCTTCTCTCTGCTTTTCCCATGCCACAAGTAATAAGAGAAACGCAAATTTTTGGTGTAAATTATGAGCTGTAGACAGCTTTAATTACTACGGACTTCTAACCCATTACTATTATTCTTTTGTGCAGCTTCTAATGAAAGTTTTTTTCAAAATGTGGTGGTCGGGATATTCAGAACCGAGGAAGATTGTCAACTTTTTTCTTCTCATCCAATATCTGCCAAGAATTTATCGAATTATCTTAGCTTCTTCCGAACTTACAAGGACCATCAAAATATGGATCAAATCTCTATTCAATTTCTTTTTATACCTTCTTGCTAGCCATGTGAGTTTCACTTCCATATTTTTTCATTTTACTACGGACTTATTTTGGTAATTGATAAATGCTTGATGAAGCTTAGTTTGATTTACAATAAACGCATGATTGGAAAGTGACTACTGATGACGTAGAGGAAGTCTAGGTGTCAATACAATTTCTCTCTCAATAAATTATCATATCGATGATTAATGCTTAGACCTATCAATTAATTAATTATGTTGTCATAGGTTATTGGAGCCTTTTGGTACTTCTATTCCATTGAACGAGAGACCTTATGTTGGCACCAGGCTTGTCAAAATCAACTAGATCCCGAGAGATGCATGAGTACCTTTTATTGTGATCGTGACAATTCTGCCCAACCAAATATCACATTTTTTGATGAACATTGCAACATAGATGTTCCATACAATGCTTCAGAGCCGTTTAAGTATGGAATATTTCTTGATTCGCTTAAGTCTGGTATTGCGGGGAATAATTATAATTTCCACACGAAGTTATGCTACTCTTTCTGGTGGGGTCTGAGAAATTTGAGGTTTGCTTGCACATGTATATCTATTTTAAAATTTCACCATTTTATTTTGTATCCTCTATTAATCAAATATATATTTTTTATACTAGATAAAAAAAATAAAAAAAAGGAAGATTCACTAACAATTTGTTTGTATGTCCTTAATCACCATTTGGTCACTATTATATCAAATATAGGGGCCCAATTATTAAAAAAATTCAACATAAAATGAACTGTAATAACACACCAAAAAAATCCATTTACAACAGAAGAAAGAGGCTTCAAATTTCCTATAAATTATCAAAATGCCATTGATTTCTTAAAACAAGCCCAACCCCCAAAACCTCATACAAAAATTCAAAACCCTCAATAGGGTATCAAAGTAATTTAATAATCAAAATAAAATTCAATAGGGTCATCTGTCATTTAGTGTTTATTTATAAATATTAAATGGTGTAAAGTTTATTTATATCACTAATGCTAAAAATGTATATATAACTAAATATCTCATAAAAAAAAAAGTCTTCAACATAATATGATTCCTATTGTATATGATATATATTAAATATGACTACTTTTCCTTTTATGTGGTAACTACTTACAAGGAGGATCCTTTTAGGAATCCCCCATTACTTTTATAACTACTTTCTTCTGCCATTCATTAGTATCTCACATTTTGCTTGGTCCTTTACTTACTTTTTGCAGCAACTTTGGCACGAATCTCGCGACAAGTCATTCTATGTGGGAAAACTTGTTTGCAATTCAAATTTCTCTCACTGGCTTGCTATTATTTGTATATCTCATTGGAAATGTTCAGGTTAGTAATAAATCTCTCTCTTAGATATCTATTTAGTTTACTTTTAATTACTTTACTTCAGCTTCAGGGGGGAACCTCTATCTTACGTAAATGTACATCAATTTGAAATAACAGAATAAACGTAAATGTGAGGTTCACTAAGAATTTTATTTCAACTATTTGAGTTGTCTGCCTTCGTCCTTCTTAAAAAATTAGACCTTGAAAACCACTGAGGCATCAAGTTTGGACTAACAGAATAAACAAACACAATGCTTTAAGAAAACACTAAAATGATAATTATTAATTCATTGGTCAAATGGTTTTGAAATTAAGTGATTTTTTACATAAATTTTTTCTGTAGCAATACTTAAAATTAGATGTTCGGATCATTGATATACACTTCTAATTTACTATTTGTGCTTAAATGTACCTTCAGACATTCATTCAGATGAAAACCACACAATCTGAGGAAATTAGGAAGAAGATTGAATTTAAAAAAGAGGCGACAGACATGTGGATGGAGAAAAATGCCATTCCTGATGATGAAAGGAAGGAAATCAGGAAAATGATAAAAAGAAGCGACAGACACCTGGAAGGGGACAAAGATTCTGTTTTGGAGAATCTCTTCAATGTTGTTCCCGGTTATATGCAAAAATTCCTAAAGCATTTTCTCTGCATGAAAATTCTAAAAGAGGTCTCTCTCTCTCTCTCTCTCTCTCTCTCTCTCTCTCTCTCTCAAGTATTTGTTCGTATATTATTTATTAGAAAAGAAAATTTTGACTACCTAAGAAGTACATGAGTTGGCTTGGCCTTCCATCACTCATACGCATCATTTGATGGTTCAGTTTGGATTAGATCGAGGCAAAGGCAGTTCTTATAAGTCTCACTCTTATATGAGACTTTTAATATATTGGATTGTTATCCTATTTAAGATCCAACACTTAATAAATTTACTAAACAGAAACCAGGACATTAGTCCAATTTACAAGGAATTAATTTATATCGTTGAACTTATATAGATGAAGGAATCTTGCTTTGTGTTTAAACATCGATCAATTTTAAATGTACAGGTTGATCTCCTTCAACTTATGGATGACAGTGTGCTGAAAATGATGTGCGACTGTCTGAAGCCAGTGACTTACGCAGTAGATCACATCATATTTCCAAAGGAGCACCCAATTGATCGCATGCTTCTCATTATAGAAGGCACTGCATTGACCTACAGCATAACTCCTATTCCTAGCCTTACACCTGGTGAAGAAAACGATTCTGGTGCTGCCCCATCCCCATCCCCATCAATGGCCACCAAGCAACTCGGGAAAGGTGGTGTTTATGGAGAAGAGCTTCTGACGTGGGCATCGCCCGAGAAAACTGGGATTGACAACCTTCCTACCAGCAACGAATATGTGAAATGTCATACAAAAGTAGAAGGCTTTGTTCTCTCAGCCCAGGACTTGCTAAAGGTAGTCTCCAAATCCAAGCAGTTGCGGAAGTTAAACATAGGCCCTTGATCTCCCTCGCAACTTCTACAGCGGCTGGTCCCGGACATTATGTACGGATATCCAGTTTTTATTTACTTGTGTTTTTGAGTGCTTGTGTTAGTATATGCAGACCATAATCTTGCATATTAATTCAATCAGAAATATAATAAGATTCAAAGAAATGCAGAGAGATTTTCAGAGAAAAATGAGTAGTGAATTTCTGAGAGAGAGAGCTTGGAGAAGAAGCTGACTGTCTTAATTAGCTCAGCTCCAAAACATGCATATATTGTGATTCTGACAAAACCGTTAGGAATAGAATATTCCTCATTACATCACTCAATCTTAGCCATTCATGCACTACCCTATGAGATAATGACAAGTGGCATAAGCTAAAACATTCTCTGCTATACACTTGGACTATGATCCAACGCAGCCTTTTAAAGAATAGAACCTTCCTATTCTAATTACATTTCAGCAGACTCACTTATACACCAACAGTATCGTACTTATGCCGTAAACTGCTTCCATAAAGAAATGAAGAGGATAATAATAATGCAACTTACTAAACTAAATTGATTTATGACAAGTTGTTGTTTGTAGGAATAGGATTAATCAAAGAAAAATTGTACGCATCAAGCAACTTTGTCTAAATACGCTTTTTTTAATTTAAAAAGAAGAAGTCTTCCCAACGGCAATCACATCTCGAATTTCATTTCATATTAATAATGCAGTCATTCTCTAAGAAACCAATTGCTCATACCGTCTAATTTTATGTTAGATTTAACTTAATTTTAGGATAAATAATGACCAATTTGCTCTCATATTTAACGGAAATATATATTGACAGAATGTAACGGTATGACCAATGGAACGAATAATATAGAGTTGATGGACCATTTAAATGAATAATTTAATTAAGAGACCAAAATGTAAATCGAATATAAGTTTGAGAACCATTTGAGTAATTTACCCATACTCTAAAGAAAATGGTGGCTTAATGTTACAACAACAACTCGCTAGTCAAGGAGGCTTTGTGGAGACAGCAAAAAATTACACTGCAGAAGAACTTGGGAAGGCCACAAACGATTACCATGAAAGTAGAGTCCTTGGAGAACGAGGCTATGGAATAGTTTACAAGGGAGTATTGCCAGATAACAAAGTGGTTGCCATAAAGAAGTCCAAAATTTGTGTTCAAACCCAGAAGGAGCAGTTTGTTAATGAGTTATTGTTCTTTCTCAAGTCGACCACAGAAATGTGGTGAGGCTATTGGGTTGCTGTTTAGAGACATCTGTGCCTTTACTAGTTTATGAGTTCATCACCAATGGTACTTTTTTTGACCACATCCATAACAAAATGGAGAAGGATCATCGTTTTCCTTGGATTTGCCTTTGAAGATTGCAGCAGAAACAGCAGGAGCACTAGCATACTTACATTACTCATCCGCTCTCATGCAAATCACACACCGAGATGTGAAAGCAACAAACATACTGTTCGATGACAATCACTCAGTTAAAGTGTCACACTTCGGCACTTCACGATTGATCCCTTTGGATACTTAGACCCTGAATACTTCCTTACAAATCAACTAACTGAAAAAGTGACGTTTATAGCTTTGGGGTCGTTCTTGTAGAATTACTAACAAGCAAAATGGCACTTTCTTTTGACAGGCCAGAGGAAGAAAGAAATCTTGCTAACTTCTTTGTTCGTTCGATGGAGGACGACTGCTTGAACCAAATTCTTGATGATGGCATATTCAATGGTGGAAACATTGAAACAGTTAAAGGTGTGGCGAATCTTGCAAAAAGATGTTCAAGGTTAAAAGGGGAGGAAGGGCCTATCATGAAAGAAGTAGCATCGGAGCTAGAGGGAATGAGAGTTAGGGTGAAGCAGCATGCATGGGGAAATGCTGATCTCTGTCTAGAAGAGACGGAGTACTTGCTGGGGTCACCAATTAATTCAGAAGCTTTTAGAATCTGTTTGTCTCTAACAAACACTACATTACATACAAGAAGTTGTCCAATTAACACAAGATAAACTAATTAATAAACTGCATGCAGTATAGACTAATTGCTACATCAAAACGATTAGCATGAAATTTAAGAGACTGGCAAAAGGAAATTGATCTATAGCATGTTACTTGTTTATGCTTAATCGATGGTTTTGCACAATTATACATGTTACTTGTATAGATGGTCAATTAGTTCCTGTTTCGAGATTTACTAAATTGCAAGGGGTATTCTGGTTGAAAGAAAGCGAATGGCATCCGTAAATCAGAAGGAAACAGACTTCAATCAGCAAAAAGTTGCTAATCTTACTTTAATTGACGATTTTGATCTTTCGCTGCGGTTTGTGACGGTTTCATGATCTTTAGTGACAAAATTAAGGTCCCATTTTGAGAATTAGCTGCGGTTTTTCTCGTCGCAAAGCGCAGCTAAAGAGCTTCCGCTACGGTACCAGAAAAACCGCCGCTAAAAGTCGAAGCAGTTTTTAGTTCCTACCGACCATTGACAATTGTTGAAATTTTAAAATTTTATTTTGTTGGTGCTTTATGAAAATTGTTGGGCATATATATATATATATATATATATACATTTATAAGGTGTACATATTGTTGTGGTAAATGTTTAAATATATACACATATTTTGTCGTAAATTACAGGAGAATAAAGAAAATATTCGCTATCCATCTATAAGCAAAATATAAATCACCACATAATTGCTTTCCTCAGTGGCTTGCACGTAAATGCCCACAAGCGCACTCACAGGGATTTGCCTACTAAACAATATGGCTATTGGAAAGCAAATGTATGCCAATGCATTTGTGCACAGGAACATCAAATGCAGCAAGACAGGAAGATAGCAGAAATGAAATTTAAACATGATGAACTTAAAGTAATGTCCTTCCCCCTTCTCTGCCAATGTCACATTCGCTCTAAGATAAATTTGATCCAATCTTGAAATAGAAAAGTTTGAAGGAGGGCAAAATTAAGGAATAATTATACTACTAAATTTTAGTAGTTAACAGGGATCAAAATGAAGTTTTTTAAAATGGATCAATAACAAGATCTACCTCAGAATTTAGCCACGCCTTCAGCAAGTGATTAAGAAAACTAGAGGAGCTTGAAAGGAGGGTTTTAACAAGAGTGTTTCAAGATTTAAAAAAAGCTTGGCATCATGTGGTCAATTAATCCCAAACATCAAATACATTATAGCAAGACTATGGAAGATAGCAGAAAGGAAGTTTAAACACTTTCAACTCAACTATATGTGTACAGTATGATTTGGAATTAAGACATGATGCACTTAAAGTAATGTCCTAACCCTTCTGTATCAATGACACTCAATGTAATGTTCTTCCCCTTTGATGTACCCTTTGGCAACTCTTGGCATTAACTTTTAGATGCTTATAACATGTCACCGACATAGTTAAGTACATGTTTCCCTAATATAAATGAGATCGAATCTTGAAATAGAAAACTTTAAATGAGGACATAAATAAGAAAGTATCTAAAACTAAAGTCAAAGAAGATAGCTTAAACAGAAGGAATAATTCAACCACTAATTTTTAGTAGCTACTAGGGATCAAGATTCCACTTCCCAGTACATATTTAAGTTTATGAGGCTACCTTCTTGTATCCTTTTATTGGACCAGACACAGATAAAACTCCACTACGAAGGTAACTTACATAATTGGAAGTTGGAGCCCACGAAATGAAGGTTTCAAATAGATCAATAACAAGATTTACCTTAGTGATTAGACAAGCCTTCACCATGTGATTAACAAAACTATAGGAGCTTTCATACAACTTTACATACAAAACTCACACGCCACTACATTGGGTCCGCCATTAATATGAGAAGTGTTAGTGGGTAGTCTTGTCTCTGTAGTTTTCAACCTCTCTTATGTGAGAATTTTATTTGTATTGTTATGGTTTGGTTTTTCCAAACTTTATCTCTTTTTGGTTGTTCTGAGTTTTCACTCTTACTTGGGATGCCTATGCCAGAGTTTCTTCGATCATGCGTGATCATTAATCGATGAATCCCAAATTGTCATAATTTTGATGTTAAATCACTCTATTATTATAATGACCATTTGTGACTATTTTGTATTGACATTTTGTGGGTAATGATTTTTGTTGTTGTTGAAATATGAATGCAATTCCATAATTTTTTTTATAAAAAAAAAAAGATAAAAAGAAGATAAAGACAAAGAGAGACAAGAAGAGAGAAAGGGGGTAGGAAGCTTATGATCGGCCACAATTTCTTTCTTTCAATAATAAACTTACTGATTACTGATATATGTTGATTGCAACATTGGTTCAGTTGAGGGTCTAGAAGACGAAATGTCAAAGAAAGGAAGCTTCCATTGTTGAGTCATACTAAAATAAGCTCTTATAACTCAAAAATCATATACGATAACCCAATAATAAGCTTCCATTTTTTATATACCTAATATCCTTCAATTATATATATATATACAGAGAGCTTCCATTGAGGGATCCCTCAAATAAGCTTATTTGAGGGACACCCCTTATAGGGCCCACTCCGGATTGTATTTCACTAATCCAAACCGTCTATTTTGTAGATACATATTCAAAGATCATCTCTACAAAAAATCACTTGAATCCGATATCTTTTGACCATGCAATTGAGTTATTGAAATTTTAGTATTTTCTTGAAGTACCGTGTTCATTGATAAAAGGGCGTCCCTCAAAAAAAATTATTTGAGAGACCCCTCAATAGAAGGAGACTGTATATATATATATATATATATATATATATCCCAATTCTCATTTAACAGACTCCTGTATATGTTATGTTATGGCTAATATACCTAGATGAGATTATTATCCATTATGTACTTATTCATACCGTAGTTATTCATTCGCTAGGATTTTATCTCTAGTTGGGATTTTACCTAATATCGCCCTAGCTCGGATTATTATCCATTACTTTCTATTTATAAAATTAAATAGTAAATTAATATGTTATGGATAAAATAGGTAAAATTGTTATCAATTATTAAAAAATAGGTAAATTATAATAAAAAACAGGTAAATAATATGATGACTATCCCATACAATTTGCTGGAGGTAAACACATAATCAAAAGGTATAATAAATGGTGGTTGACTCGCATACAATATGCTGGAGGAAAAAATAATAACAATAAATTGGGCAAAATTTAAGAGATTTTCTATTTAAACCCCATACTTCTCTTAGTTCACCCCAACTTTTAATTTTAATTTTCACAATTTCTAAGAAAACCCCACTATCTTCCCAAATTACCCTTAAATACACCCCAAGCTGAAAAAATAAGAAATAAAAGAAATTTTCTATTTAAACCCCACAAGCTACCCTTAGAGGAAGACGTACCTTCTGCAAGCTCTAATGCTAATTGCTAGACATTTTATCATTTTCTCTCTTGAGTATTTAATAATGACAATGAGGTATTTACAATGAGAATGAGAATGAAGTTGGTACGAACGTTCCGTGCGAGAGGAGATAAAACTGGTACTTGAAGTTGCTACACTTTGCACTAGGAGTAGGCCATCTGATCGGCCATCAATGGAGAATATATTGAAGTTTTTATCAGAGTGGAAAAGCAACAAGAAAAA